TTGCTTCACTTTTAGATCTTACTATTCACTTTGTATAATGCAAATTTTCTGTTATAATTGTATTAGCACAAGTAGTAAGGAGCTGACACTGAGCACACACATACTCAGTCTTCTCTGCACAGTCTAGATGATGCTATACTATCTATTGCAGGCAGAGGGTCCTAAATCCTCAGGGATATGTGGTAATGATTGAAAAAAATTGGATGCATTGTGGAATGTTTCTTTCTGTGGAAAACTACCAGATTTTTGCTGTCATTTTTTTATGCTTCTAGTTCTGAGTCTTCTAACTTTGCAGATGTGTGTGTAGTACTTCTAAGTTGTATCTCATGAAATTAACCTGTTGCAGTTGAATGCCAGCATATGACAAGCAGAGTGGGACTCTAGAGTTTGTAGTTTCTGAGTGGTGAGCAGTAAGATTTGACTCATAGTGACACTGACAAAAATACTCAAGTTCTTAAATAGTTCTAGGTACTACATCCAACATTGATGCATCTCTCAATGACAATGCTAAGAGATGAGCCAGCAGAGAACAAACTATGATATGGACTCCTCCTGTATACTGATTTCCCCTCTAAATGAGTTTCACTCTTGTGAGATCTGCTTCTCATTAGTATCTGTCTAATAGATAAGATGTCTTTCATTTTGCCATCCCAGTTCCCACTCCACTCTCTGTTGTTTACCATGAATATAAGCTGGAATAATGAATGCCTTTTCATCACCTCTCTCTGTCCAACACAGATAAGGTTTTGAGCATAAGAATGCTTTCACCAGTGGAATATCAGGATGATCCCTTTACATTCCTTCTCATACCTTGCACTGCTCAATATCTCTCTAATGCTCAGTCTAGAAACATGGCAAAAAAGTAGCAAGTTTCTCCACCAGTATTAATCCACTTTTTAGGACTTGAACCTGGTGCATCCATGTATGTGCATTATGAACATTCTATATCAATCAATGAGTTAGGGACAGAAACAGAGCAGGAAATTTGTTCTACTACATACCAGTTCATTGATTCTTGAACATGCTGGGAAGCAGCATTGGCACTGCCAACCATAAGCACATCTGTAATCCCAGCCAATCAGGAAAATAAGGCTGAAAGGAAGGCTGAATTCACTCTACTATCTATTTACATGTAGGACTTGCAGAATAATAGTCATGTAAATACATACCATCTGATCTATGTAATTGACCTTGATGACTCAAACCCTGCACACTCACTATGCCATGACACTGGTTGACATGGTCTGTGAAGAATAATACCTTGTCCTCATGCATAAGAGAATGAAGATAGAGAAAAAAAGAACATCAGATATGCTCCTTACAGTTGAAAGGAAAAGGAAATAAACATCAGAGCTCTGTGTCTCTCTTTTCCCCAATGCATCCTCTCCTCCCAAAGAAGGAGGTAATGCATGAGAGCTCATGCAACAAACAATGCAGCATGCTGTCAAATCTGGTGAATGGCCATGCATGCAGGAGATGAGAGATGGTTCTGGATCAATCATAAGTAGGAGAGGAGATATACTCCACATGCACATTCAGAGCAAAGTCACAATACAGACAAGAAAAGAAATAGGTGAAATAAGCCATGATCTGAATTGAACATGTGTATGTATGCTCAGTGGCTCTCTGGGTAAGACTATGTGGTCCTTAAACAAGGTGGTGTAGAGAAATGTTACATGCATGCCGCCAGCCTCCGTGTCACCTCAACCAACCACGAATTCTATCATGCTATCCACTGGACTCTGGCCGCTTCCCATTACCTACTAATTTCATTTCACCATTATCATTTCACATCTGTATTTCACATTGTAATACCTAGACCCTGAATTCGGTAGTGAATATTCACACTGGAACCCAATGGAACCTGACTCAGAATTAGCTACCATTAGTATATAAAGCCATGTATATCACCGTAACTACTCAGTTCGAATATCAACTTGGATAAGCCCACACTTCGCACTCACTTCAACTCCTCACTACCTCATCCATCAGATTCTGCTCTGAAGGACATTCCGGTTCACTTCTCTGATGAATCTCCATCCTGTCCATCCAGATCCTTGGGCTCTGACTCAAGGGTGACATTGCCAATAGCTTTGTCGATGCCCATGCACTCTGCCAGACTCTGTGAGTGCACTCAAGCCCACTCGATTGGCACGTTCCTAACAGGAAACCACAGAGAGAAAACAGGCATATGAAGCAGGTCTGAGATGGCAGGTCTGAGATGCATGGAGAATCAATTTCCCCTTGGTGGTCCCCTCAAGCAAATAAATCTACATCCTACTTGTGAACCAAACATCAAATACTTTGCATGTTATATTGCTCAGAAAGCCATATGCAAACAATTAACACTGACACATGAGGAATATCCATGTGTATACATCATCTTCAGTTGTTGACAGTTCCCTTTTTAGCACTCACACCCTCCCTACTATGTCCCAATCCCCATGAACAGGAGCTATATCAGATCTTTGGCTCAGTCTTGTTATATAAGCAGTGGTGGTCATGATCAAAAGTAGCACACCTGATTGTATCAAAATCGACATCTCTTCAAATTTTTTACCTCAGAGATGGCACTCTAGCATATGGCTTCTCTTTTTTTTTTCAACATGCTTAAGACCCTCACAAAAGCTCAATAAACATAAGTTGGAGAGTAGGATCAACACATTGGCATCTCATTCCTGCCAAAAAGTAGATTAGACATCTGATATCAAAGCAATTTTGCTGCCAGGACTCGAACCTGGTGTGCTACACATATCCACTGGCTGAAGAGATGATTGAGAAGACTCAGTCAAAATAAATATGAGCTCTGCATCTTCTATTGAGAACTTGAAGTAATCAAACTTGGACTTCATCATGTGCTAGGCTATGATGAAGAGGAAATGATAAGGATATGCATTGTGACATTAGAGAAACCCTGTGCTCCATTCTCAGGGTTGCCATTTGCTCCTTTCCCACTGCCCTCCACTTGGAACAGCCTAGATGGGAGAATTCAACTGTAGCTGATCACCCCTTTCAGAATAGTGAGATAGGGATTGGTGTGAATGAAGAGCCTCAGATTGAACCTAGATATCTGATCAGCATTCTAAAGTAACTGATAAATCAAGTCCCTTTACCAAAAAATACTATGCTGCTTTGAGCACATTCTAAGCCCCAAAGCTAGCATGGGTAAACCCAAGCACCACTTGCCATATTTCCTTGTCACTCATGCAAGAAGAGAGATGAAATTGATTCCAGTAAGAAGAGGAATATGTATCTCAAAATGAAGCATTAAAAACAGCCCTCTCGAAAGTGGTGAGAAATACAATGGTCCTTGGTCATCATTGGAGAAAGAGTAAGTTGATAAAATTTGAATGCCTTGGGAGAAGTTGAACTTGTGAGCATTCCTTTCACCTCACATTGGTCCTATGTAGAAGACTAAATCCAACACAAAGGCAAGAGAAGCTACATATCCTTCCCTACCTTCATTGTGATGGTGGCCATCTTTGTAAAAACAACAATGTTACATGAATATTTCATCTCCAGTGTTGAATGTTGCACATTGATTTCTGAACCTGGTCCATTCTCGATGAAATACAGACAAGGCACTCAAGCCAGGAATTATAACCGGGATAAGTGGTATATCCCAAATGAGAGGATTCATGGTTGGACACCTCTTTCTACTTGAGAGGGTGCATACTGCAGTGTGTTGGAAATCCTTGGTGATGTGCAGGGTAGACTCCAGGCTGGTAAGGCCAGAAGGTATGAACTTATTATTCTGCAGCTCCTACAGAGCTCGTATTTATACTCTCCAGGCTTGTATCTAGAATTTACTACAACTTTCCTCTTTCTCTCGGGCTTACTCATCAACTCTCGGCATGATGCCGGATTGCCCTTTCTAGAACTTTCCAGCAAAATCCCAACACAGTGTTCTCTCAATACATCATACGCTCGTATGGGAAGAGAAGGATTGGTGCTTTTGAATTCGGAGAGACGGTATAACCTATGACTCGCCTCATGGCTATCAGACCCTCTGGGATTATGGCTCTCTCGTCTTTCTTCACACAATACCTTGCACTCCTTGCCTCGGAATAGTTCATATCAGAAGTAGGCATTCCCCTACATTCCATCCACCTGATAAGAGTCAGCATGCACGTTCGATTCGTGTGGTGGTCCTGGCTCTCCTTGCATAATTTTTCTGCACTGTGCGATGGTGTATCTTTGTTCTCTTGTCCTCAAGTCGGTTTCTGTAAACTGCACATAGGTAGCCTAGCATGTTCGCACATACACCAGGTTCAAGTTCTGGAGGTGAAATCCACGCTCCTTGCACGTTTCTTTCTTTTTGCTTCCCTCGATAAACAGATGATGCGTCAGTTGATTTTGCAGGACTGGGAGAGCAATATGGCTGCGCTGTCTTCTGAATCTCGTTGATGCCGACGTCACTTCTCGAGCCCTGCCTCCACTGTCAACTAGCGCTGGCACTTCATATCCAATCACGGCACGAAAGGCGCGGTCGTTTGGGTGCACAATTGGGTATCTTGGTGGGTGAATATCATTCCCTCTCACTCTTCACTCGACAGACAATACTTTATCAAGGAGGACCGTTTTGCCGGAGCTCATGACAGGTAGAGAAGTACCCAGAAGAGTGTGTACGGGCCCCTTTTGTCTCGACATCCCATGCCACGCCCTCCTCCTGGTCGACGAGTTGCTACTGATGCCGCCGCAAGGTACACGTGCTGTGGTTATGACAGATATTTGTGCTATTTTTCCCGGAGGGTGGTAGGGTGGACGCTTCGCGCTCTTTGAATGGATGCACAACCAAAAACGGAAGCCGAGTTTTCCAAATACTATTTGACCTCCAGGAATCGAACCCGGTGAACTACGCAGACCCATCAGGCTACATGTACACACATTTGGATGACACAGACGACGCATATACGCCTAAACTTATTGTAACGGTCATCCTAGATGACACATCCGGCACGCACTGAGGGACGAACACTGACATGTCTTGTCTCGGTGCTTCCTCCCAGTAATTCTGTCGGTCATAATCCGTGACATTTTCGAAGAGCCGAAGAGGACGTGAAGTGGTCAACGCCGGAGAAGAGTCAATCAGACTGCCCCCACCACATCTTTGCCTACCCCACCATCATCTAGGACCAAGGAGGGAAAAGCCATAATCGCAGCCACCTCAGCCTTTCCAAGGAAGGTAGATTGGAAATAAGCCACTCCAAGTCTATACGCGAAGACAAAAAGCGGCCTCTGAGCACGAAAGGAGCAGGAATGCGGGAGGACACTGTTCCTGGCCACATCTCCATGGGCCCCTACTATTATTTGATGAGCTGGACTCGATAGCAGGGAAACACAACATGCACAGGAGCAGCCCAGCATTTTGAAATGGTCGTTGTTAAGCAACCGAGCAAAATCTGCCTGGAGAGGATCAACTTGGGGCAAGAGCGAGGCTTGGGAAAAGAGAACATCGAGTGGAGAGAGGAAACGGTTCTTGACAGCGAACGGGGAATAGGTTGAGATGCTCCAGGGGAGTACAAAATGGGCGTAGAGCACGAACCGGAATAGATGATGAGATGATGAGATGGATGAAGTGTATGTATGAGTTCGCATAGGTGGAAGGGTGCACTGGTTGTCCTCGTAGAGTCTGATTGAGCACGCACTGAACGTATGGCCAATCTTGCAAAGGCAATGACGGAAACTTGGCTGGACGACAGAAAGAGGCCAGACGAAGGGATCAGTCGGACAACAATCACAGCAGGTCATTTGGGCCTGAACACGAGTGCTTGAGCGTTTGAATGTCAACGCCTAGATGCTCATGAGCATGCCGGAGTAATGCAGAAAGCAGCTTCCTGTACCAAATATTCCATCGCATGTCTTCTACCTATTGCACTATACATCCTCCCACTTGGACTTGCACACGTCTTGGGCCTCAATACCAGCAAGGCCATAACTATCTTGACGTCCCTCATAGCTAAGCCATCCTACGCTTCAGGTGACACTGTTCGCTATGTTTCTTCGTCATTCGAAGCTGAGAGAAAAAGGGTAATCCAAGAAGTCGCATGGAATGAGACGGTGACGATCAAAAGGATTGGTGGAAGTAATGGCTGTCGAAAGAGATATGGCACAGCCACTGGCTGAAGAAAAACTGTCGTATTTAAACTTTTCTATTAACTTGTATCTAAGGTAGCTCCTAGGAACGACCAAAAGAAAACTGCCTGAACACCTATTTCAGCAATACTTCAACCCCAAACAATGGCGCACATACCCCTGCGCTTCATAGAAGACTATACCCCAACCACGCTTCTCCGACCCATTGACTAACCAAGACCGCCATCGCGGTCTTCGCTACCGATCCGCAAAAAATGACTAGCATAATAAACACGGGATGGCAGTCAAGTATCACTAGTCCATCAATTCACAAGGATTGAAAACAAGATCGAGGCATCAAACCTACCTCGTAGCCCAAATCCGGCTGAGATTCCACCTAGAATATTCCGGACAATCCATCCAATATCGAGTTGGCTATCATCGAGCATATTTAGAAAGTTGGACAGCTTGGGTGCATTCCATGCCGTTGGGCTAAGCGGTTCTGATCGAGACGGACGCCAGATAGTCAGAAGAAATGAAAGGAAGAGTTTTGTCAAGGAGGAGTAGAACAGTGTCAAGGGTATCAGTGAGTAGCTAGACAGAACGATATTAGAGGCTGAATAAGGATGACCCTCTCGACTTGCCTAAATTCGCGTCTGATATCGGATTCCGGCAAAGAGCTGTGACGCTGTCGCAATTTCTCTATCAAGGTTGTCATTTTGAGCACTACAGAATAAGCAGCTGCTACGCCGCAGTGAAACGCCACCGTTTCTAGAGATTTCGGTTCTGTCAATAACTCGACCAACAAAAAGGTAAAACCACACACCGGCAAAACAACCAATGAATATACGGGAAAAGTTGAAGATGGTAAACCCAGACCATGGGGAGAGGTCTACGGACTGACTAGGATCTTCAGGGTGATGAGTATTGGCCGGAAAATTAGTAAGAGACGAACTCAAATGGCACCATCGATTGACTGAAATTCTATGAAAACATGTCATAATTTGAAAGAAAATTGACAACGTACAAGCATCTACAAAGATAAGGATACTTCCAAGATGTAGGACGAGCAACCAGCGTGAGTTTTCTCCCCTCTTTCTTTTGCCATCGTCGTCCTTAGGCGATGCTTCCGTCGCCAGTCTAGGCTTCGCCCCTCGGTTGAACAGCAGGTGTCGATACACGCCACTCTTGAGGAGAATGAGGTCAATGAGCAATATCAAGTCGTCGTATTCAATGTACGGATCCACAAATGCATGGCAATTCGACTGACATCGAAATTATAATCAGAAATAAAGCAATAGCGAGAGAACGTACACATCGTTCAAGTCGGAGGTTGGATGCTGACTCGTACACGGTGTACAAGTGAGACGACCATCGCGTGCACGTCGTGCATATCGGCATTCGGTGGTGATGGTGGTGCGGAAGACAGCCGACATAATTAAGTTCCCACGGTTTTACTATCTGCAAATCGGTAATTAGGAATTTACTGTAAATTGGCTTGTTTTCGTAGCATACAATACTGCGATATCTATGTCTTGTAGTTATTATATATCTGCTCACGATTTGATCCTGAGCAACCTGCCAAAATCCGTTATAATTCGCGTCCGACGACTGGATACTACATCCTCGTTCATGCATGTTTCCCTCACCCGGCTTTGCTGACATGGACAGTCGCAGCCAAGGATTTGGACTTGATAGTTGTATATCGGAGCTCCTGGTTCTATTCAGTTTCTTTTACTGACCAGCAATACGAAGAGCATCATACCTTGAGGCGAAACCGAGAATTCCATATTTGACCCTCCTCCCTGGCTCCCAGTCAAAAGTCACAGACCATGCCAAAAGTTTCTCCCGATGATACGTGGAGTAGAAAACGAAGTTTTTCACAGTGGGTCAATCACGTAATGCTTGAATTTCGTTGGTACTAGCTTCCAAATAATCGTCATAGGAATCCTGGTAGGAAGCTAATGAAAAGACAGAAGAGTTAGCGGATGCTTTAGCAACTACATCATAGCAGGGCGTACCCGAGGTCTGTGCCCTAGCTCGATATTGGGCTATGACTTTACGATTGTGCTCTATGGCTGATAACTGGGCGTGTTTTATTGTACCTAGCAAGTAAAAGTTAGATGCGTATCAGGAGGAGGTGACTCAGCATACGGACCAGATATGTCTATGACATATGGAACAATTCGGATTCCCTCTATCGAATCCAGCAAAGTGACCCCTCCTCGGGCAACACGATGGTGGTCCCTCGCAACACGAATAATACAAATACTTGTCGTAGGCGAGAAATACTTCACTGGAACTATTCTCAGCACCATTATAAATATATAGCAAGGGAAACGCACCAGTCAAAGAATGCGACACGCTACCCCAACCTACGTCGCCAAAATGTTTTTGAATGCTTTCCCTCAAAGCCGCCCAGATTTGTTTAGCTTCGAGCCGAGTCGGATTTCCTTGCTGCTCGCCTACCGGAATAAGCTCTACGAGAAGCCATCGATTCTTTTGCAAAGTTAGCGCCTTTGCAGCTGTATTTGCACAAAATTGTTAACCTTGAACCGAACCATGGGGAAGGAAGGAGGCGTGGGAACTAGGAGAATTGCGCCAAGTCACAGCCACTTGTGGCCGTTGCTCAGTTCGATTCAAACACTCATGTCAATCTAAGCATTCACTGGCGTTTACTAATACAGAAGTAGCCAGTGCTCTTCCACTCTGAAGGTAATAAGGCATGGCGGGACCAGGGCCGAACGGAAGCTAATTCGAGGGCGAGTATCACTAATGTTGTACAGTGACGAAAATTCAGACGAATTCGGTCGGTGTAGTCCTTGCCCTTGAAACTGAGCAAGAAGAGGACTGGTCAGAGGACGTGGTTAATTAGATTCACGCCATTCTTAGCTTGAGCGTAGATTAGACCGAAAGCTCGAATAGTTGATCTTTTCCCCTAGTAATGATATTCCCGACATAAACTAAACGAGTTTTCAGAAACAAATGCACACAACATTTTTGCCGCTAAGGACAATGCAAAATTCAATTACCGAGCTGCGCCGATATCGGGGAGCTTAAAGCATGTACGCTGTAACAGCCATGATCACACCACAGAGTGTGGTAGTGAGGTAAACTGAATCCATGAGGACGAGCACCTTGGGTGCCGAGTCCGATGAAGAAGTGGGTGTCCCAGTCGCAGTCGAGGATGCAGATGTGAACGTGGATGTGGATTTGAATGTGGACGATGCAGTAGAAGAACTGGATAGGCTTGGCATGGCAGAACTCGAACTCAATCTCGAGGTGGATTTCGAAGTAGAGCTCATTGTAGTGGTGGTGACGCTAAAGCTGTTTGTAGACGGAGGCTGCACATCAAAGGTATGCGAGAACTGGTTGACGCTGTTAGGGCACAGCAGGTTGAGCTGAGCAGTCATCACAGGTATGAACTCGCCCGTGACATCGACAACGTCTTCCGAGATTTGGGTGCATGTGTTCGCTATGCAGGATGAGAGGGACAATATACTACGACTGTCGTCAAGGTAGTTGCCACACTGACGCAAGTGTGAGGAAAAGAGCCGCTGGGAATGGGAAGAAAAGATAGATACTCACGTAGCATGCACCATCCCCTGGGGTGTTTCCGAAGTTGTTGCAGTATTGGTCATCGGGATTGACATCTAGGCGTGCTCTCTGGTATCTGGACTGGATGTCATGGGTACAGGAGTCCGCGCAAGCGGTGAGATACTGTTGTGCACTTGCGAAATCTGAAGACGTGGATCAAATCCTTATTGCCAGACAAAGAACGAACAAGAAAATTACCTCCAAGATTTTGTCTTGGAACTGGAGGCATGGCGGTTACATACTCCACAGCATATGCTAAAGCATACACTGGCATGATGACACCAGTTAGAATGCTCGCTCTCATATCGAACGTGAATAAGGAAAAGTTGTGAGGAGACCCGCTCGAAGGGCGGTGCGACGCAGCTGAAGACTTATGGGTAGATGTTGGTCGTCACATAAATAACCACCATAGTAAAGGCAGTGCCATACAGAGCGCTCGAGGAAACGGGATCCTCCTCGGTGGCGTCGGTTTGCATTGATGCATAGATGCTACGTTGGCTTCCGCCAAACGAACAGCTGAAGCACAGAAGCATCGCATTATAGGCGTGGAAGAAGACATCTGTTTATCAATATCAACGCTTCTCGCAAAACTCAGCTTCCATGATGTTAATGTAAACATACAGAAAGCTGTAATGAATTATGAGCTTGACGCCTCCCATCAGGAACATTGATTTATGAGACGACCATCAACACCATGATGGACCTCGGGGCTTTTTTTCCGAAATCCTAGCAGCGAATGGTGGACAATGTCGGAACACGAGCTCAGAATCACATCTGAAATTCTTTCTACTAATGCCATTCAGATTCAGTGTAGAAGAATGAGTATTACTCACCTATGCTGCTGCACAAAAATCATTATCATTTCAGTCTGATGATAGCAACCTTGAGGCTTGTATCAAAGACACTGCAACCAATGATGAGCTCTGTCTTCACTAATGGTGGCTGAGCTCCTGATACGATGCCTTCTGTCCACAGAGCTGGTTGCAAAATGTGATCCTGATGCAAGCCTGAAAATTTGAAGACTGTGGTGCCTCCAAGTCAACTATGCACATTTATTAGGAATCTCACCCACAGTTCCATTGGTCCAGCAAAGAGAGAGAGCAGATTATTTGTCTATTGCTGTGATGGTGGTGGTCAATGTCCAAGGAACTGCTTTGCCACTTTTGATCAACCTTCATTGGTGGATGCTCTATGATTAAATAAGTTCTATTACCATGGAATGGCCCACAAATAACTATATTATTACCACACTTGGACTGACTGGTACAAGTAGGCATTGTCCACAAGGACCTATTGGGCATTAACCAGATTCCACAGGGACTGATGAGACATAGCCATGTATGCAGTACTCTGTTGTATTGTGTCATATCAGCAGAAACAACAAACCAAGATGATTACCAAACAAAAGCTGGGAAGAGAAATGCTTATTTTACAACTACAGACAGTGATGGCTATGAAGGAATGAAGGACCTTATTGAATATTGTCCTCTTTTCTGTGAGATTCCCTTGACTTTGTTGCACATCCTTACTTAAATAATTTGCAGTAGGCTTATCTCAGAGCTTGACAGCGACAGGAGATGGGATTAGCATGCATCATTGGTTCTAATCTCTCCACTGTGCCACATCCAACCAGAGCCTGGATCAGTGAAGCCACCCTTAATATCTGTTGTTGCTTGCAGTAGATAGAATGGTATCATTCAGACTGTGCAGAAAAGACTGAGGATACTTGTATGCTAGGGCATCAGCCCCTTGTTACTTGTGTTGATACTGTCATAACAGAAAATATGCATTATAAAAAATGGCTAGTAAGAACTAAAAGTGAAGTGATAGCAGCATAAACAGCAGAACAATAGCATGAGCATAGAAAATGAGAGGCTGTGGAGGAGAGACTGGGGAAGCTGGAGGGGAGAAGGGCAAAACTGAAGGCCTCAGTGTCCCACAGTCCTAACTGCTGGTCCAAGCACTCTGACTAAGCATAAATAGGGGCTAATCAAGAAAGAAAAAATCATAAAATTGTAACAATTGTCTTCTTAACATCTGAAGCAATGCCTCAACCACCTATCACCCCCAAACTGATGGCCAAACTGAACATGCTAATCAAGAGATCAAAAAGTACTTTCAGATGTTCATTAATCACAGACAGAATGACTGGACTGAATAGCTTGCCCTTGCAGCATTCTAACACAATAACCACATCCACTCTGCAACAAATAAGACACTCTTCTTTATTAACCATGGATGCCACCTTCATATCATCACAAACTGACACAATACAATGACTTCCACATTCTTGAACTTCACACAACTCATATTCTCTATTCACACTGAAACACATACCACTCTCAAAAAGATGGCTGCCACTATGAAGAAGCAATATGATAAACACCAGTGGCCCACCCATGACTATTCTATCAATGATAAGATCTGGCTCAACACCAGTAACCTTCATCTGCCTCACTCAAAATGCAAGCTTGCTGACAAACATACTAGTCCTTTTACTATTCTTGCAAAGAATAACACTTCCACATACCACCTATAGCTGCCCAACATCTGGCATGTATACCCAGTCTTCAATGAAATCCTTCTTACTCCATATATTGCACCTGCCTTTTCTAGTCAGAAAACTCCATCTTCTTCTGAATCTATTTTGATTGAAGATGAAGAACCCTATAAAGTCAAACAAATTTTGGATCACAAACTCTAGAAAGTTTAAGCCTGTGGCAGTCATACCTGCATTGTACTCTATTACCTGGTCAAATAGAAGGGTTATAGATCTGAATCCAACTAATAGATCTATAAATGTGATCTCAATGCTGATGACATCTTTTATAACTATGAAATCTCAATCAATTGATCTATCAGGATGATGGTCTTAAGGGGGAGATGATGCTATGATTTTTCTCCATTTCTATATCTTTTTCTTATCTTATCAGAGCATCTATCTTATCTTGAGCACCTTCTTAAAGAGCATGAAAACATTAGATAATCACAACAGACAGTATTATTATACTCAGTTGCCTTGCCTACAGACAATTCCTCATTGTTCTCTTTCTAACAACCAGACAGGATCAGTATTAAAATGCAGAACAGTACAATAGATAGTAGTTATATTTATTACAAGCAGAACAGTATATAAGTAGGATAGCTCTCACTGTAGTAGTTCAGCTTCAAGCTATTGTTACAATTTTTCCTTTTTAATCTCTCTTTTCCTGGATTAACCTCTATTTATGCTTAGTCAGAGCACCTAAACCAGCATTTAAGACTGTGAGACTGGCTTAGTCATCACAATAAGCCTAGTTGGTCATTGTCTTTTAACACAACAGCATTGCCCAACAATTCACAATGACACTAGTATAGCTAGTAATGATGCCCAAGAACAACAGGCATAATAACCAGGACAGACATAATAACCAGGAATATTTATAGTAGTATGAATGACTTGTATATAAGCAGGACAGCTCTTGCTGGTATAACTCCAGCTTTGAGCTAAAGTTTATTCATACTCATTCTACTCTCAAGCTATCTTCTTACACCTTGAAGCATCTTGATCATGAGAATACATCAAGTGAACTCTAGCAGAAGGCTTGAATGCAAAGTCACACTAGTTTATCATATGTATCAGATCATGTGTGGCTTGAGCCTAACAATTAGCTTGAAGCTATTTCTTCTCTTTTCTCATGCACTATAGTGTAGAGAAAACCAAATGCTATCTATCAACTCTGAATTCCTAAACTTTGATCACAAGTTCTTCAAACTTCTCACTTCTATTATCAGAATATTGTTGGGATTATTGGTGATTATACAGCTGTGCTATGGACACCAATCAATCACAGCCTGAGCAGTTAGACACTATCAGGAATTTCAGAATATCTGCTGAATTCTCTGAAATGTAACCCCCAATCTCTCACTCTATGATATTTCTAAATCCAAAAGAATATCCTGCCAATCCACAAGGTACCCTCTACCAGAAGCTGGGCCTAGCAGCTTACATACAGGAGATGTTCAGAAAGAAGAGAGACACAGATACCCTTCTTAATGATCAGACAGCAGAAACTAAGACTCTTGCCTCACAGGATTCTGAAACTCATGGGTCCTGTCTCCAGTCCCTAACTATGAGGACAAGAATCTTTTCTTGGACTTTTTTAATGACTTACTATTCCCTGACCATTCTATTGCCACAAGAGCCCCTGTGGTTGCTGACCATGCCAGAGACTCTCTTGATGCTGCTAGAGTGGCTTCAGGACTCAGAAATATTTCACCACACACAGAAAACTTGGAATACAACTCCCTCTATGCAACTCCATCCAGAAGCTCTGCCCCCTCGATCCACTCCCACCACAGTGACCATGGGATGGGCAGGATGCCCAACAGCCTCAGCAACAATGAAGGATGAGGACAAGCAGCCAGGGAACATATCATCCACTGACTATTCCTAGACTGAGATCTTTGAGTCCCATTTGACTTTGACATAGCAGTATGACGGCAAGAGCAGCTATCTGAAAAGTGAGTCTGGGCTAACTCCAAGCAAGCTTGAGAAGATCTTGCAGAGCATGTCTGAGTGGAGGCTTAGTGAGAGTATGAAGAAGGAGAAGAGAACTGATGACTATGCCAGTGATAGCAGAAAGCCAAAGCAGCCTATCTGAGAAGTGAGTCCCTGGGCTGGTATGGCCTTCAGTCTGAGCTCTCCACCTCTGTTTTCTGAGAACCTAGCACTATTGACACAGATCTCTGGGTGGGCCTCTTTAGCCTGATCACTAGAAGTGAAGCTAAGCAAAGAGACAACAATGGATGCCCCTATCCTCCTAGGACCACTGTCCACTCTTCATCCCTTGAGTATCCCCCTCTCTGACACACCCCAGTCCTGACATCACCCACTCAGATGACAAGTTCATTCTCAACATCTACAGACTATGAGTATTCCTCAATGCCTATATCTCTGATCATACTCTCTGGCAATTTCTCAGAAGTAGAATTGCTCAACAGTTCCTTAACTTGGAGTTCTATAGAAACTTCAGAATTTATAGTGAGGATCTGGAGGCAGTGTGAGTGTATAGTGGCAATAGGTATGATATTGAAGTTAGAGCCAGTCTCTGAGCAGGCCTATCCACCATCCCCATTCCTTTCAGCCCTGAAGCTGAGTCCAGCACTCAGCTCCACCAGTTTCTCAGCAACAATTAGATCTTCTGCAGAGAGCCTCTTTAACCAGCCTATTGATTCCCTCTTCAAGAAGGACAGTGAGGGCAATGAGGATGAGAATAATGAGAGAATAGAGAGCAGTGAGAATCCTCATAGACTTGAGGACTTTATAAAGTACACCAAAGAAGACACCAATGAAGAAGCTCTAGAGGAGGAAATTCAGAGGGCAAGGGTTGAGGAGTACCACAAACTATATCAGAAGAGGGTAACATTTTTATAGCATGATGTCTGATAGTTGGCATTACATATGAGATAGTTATATATTAACACAGAACCAGAGAAACAGCAGGATATTTTATAATATTCCACCACCAAATATGCTATTGAAACCTACAACCAGAATCACCCAGAAGATCAACTCCACA